CTCTGGTAGCTGGAATCCATGGAACCCAGCAGCCACTCCTTGGAAAAAAGATGGACAGTCCCTTCCGATACAATATACAGCTGTGGAAACCCAATGGAAAAGTGTACCATGAGTCAGTTCCAATTTGATGACAATGAGAGAAACTAGGGTAAAAAGTTTAATTCTCTCCTTCTCCCCAATTTAAACTATGTAAATCTCGTGAGGGCAGACCACGCTCAATTCATATTTAGTACTAAACCTAGAGTTGAGTGTCCAATTCATATCTGGTACTAAGCCTAGGGTTGAGTAAATTAGACCCAGGTATTTTCTGGCTATGATAACATTATTCCCCAGAATAGAAGCAGGCTTTCTTACCAGAAAAAGAAACACACTCATTCAAATAATCATTTTTTTGAAACAGAGAAAGGGATAAACAGCTCAAGAGATGCAGCCTCAGAACCGACCCTCAACTATTTTTTCCCTGAATCACCTGACCCTTCCCCTCAACACATAAAAATCTCTAAAAATAAACAATAGAAGATCAGAAGAACAGCATTTGCCCTGGAATAAAGCTCAGAAGGCAGGAAGGACAAAAAAGAAGCATGAATGGAAAAGAGAAACACAGGGGAAGTAGGAAGCATGCTGTTACATTGTAGGGATAGCAATGAACTTCATGAAACACAATATCCATGAACTGTTGAATGGAACACTAATTTTACTATAAACTTTTATCTAAATCATAATACAAATTTTAAAATGCAATAAAATGATGGCCTTCTGATTAAAAGAAACAAACAAACAAAAAAACCCACCAAAAAATTTTTTTTAAAAATCTCTGCCCAGCCCTGGAATAATGGGGCATGGTTACCCCACTGTTCCATGTAAAATAAGATAAAAAGAGATCAAGATAAAAGCCTAGATATTTCATTCTCAGCATCCTGACTGTGAACTGAAATTTTCAGATTTCTGCTACTAGAAGAGCTCTTAAAGATAATTTAGTTCCAAAATCTCATCCCCAAAGAGAGAAAGCCTGAGGCCGAAGGAGAGAGAGTTCTTTCCCTTCCTCTGCCACCTGTGTTGAGTGTGGGCACCTTTCATCTTCACTGTCTTCTCACAAGAATTTCAAGTTCAAGAGATTCCTGGCCAAGAAACAAAAGGAGAACTTCCTCATTTCTCCAATGTATTTAAATAAACACTGGTACTAAAAGAAGGTATGACTCTAAGAGGAAACACTGCAGAAGAACCGAGCTGGGTCTCTAAGGAGTCACACTTGCGATGACACACACACTAAACTATTTTCACAAATACTCTACCATGTCAAGTTTAAAACCTCATCACAGTCAGACCACTGGATGTGTATTGAGAAACTTATGGGATTTCTTTTTGTTTTTAGGCTTCCACATTAAGAAACTCCCTAACAGATATGTAAGACCTTTGGGAGGGGAGTAGGGAGAGAGGGTCAGGGTCCTGCTCAAGTTCACAAAGCAGTTCAGGACTAGAGCCAGGTTTTGAACCCATGCCTTCTCCAGCCTGGATTAAAGCTTTTCCAAAACTGCTCTGTGGGTGTGGGCTGTCATAGAAACAGTTCTTCAGGTGGGAGGACTAAAGGGAGTTTGCCATTGTTTTTCCTTTCCAAGTATCCCTGTTTTGGCTGGTTCTCTCAACCCTTGAATAAAAAGAGGGAGGAAAGAGGCAGGACTGACCTTTGCCTCAAGGGCAGTCCTGCCCCTCACGGCAAGGACAGCTGTGGAGACACTTGAAGGACCTGGACTAGTTCTGTCACCAGTGACTCCAAGGGAAATACCTCTGTCCCCCCCGCCCCCCCCCCTTTATACTCTGGGCCCAAGCCAATGGTCTGGGCAGAATGCATGAAGAGATCTATGACATGCTGGCCTGAGGAGGGAGAAGGGAATGAGGTAGTGATCTGTGGGAGTTTATAAGGTACTTCTCCCTGTTTTAACCCCTAGAAAACTCCCTCCCTTCAACCTCAGGATAAGCAAAGTAAATAATGTTGGTTTTGTAGTTATGTGCAACTGGTAGCCTCAATAGCAACCCTATGAACAATAGCCCTGAACCCTGCCCTACCTTGAGTCAGTCTCACTGTTTCTGATACCCTGCCCCCATTGCCACAGTTACTATGTCAATCCATCTCATTCAGGGTCTTCCATAACTTCCTTGACCCTCTACCTTTTCAAGCATAATGTCCTTTTCCAAAGACTAGTCCCTCCTGGAAATATGCCGAAAGTATATGAGTGTTTCAAAATCCTTGCCTCGATATATGCACACCCATATTCATTGCAGCTTTGTTCACAATAGCAAGGAGTTGGAAACAACCTAAGTGCCCATCAACAAATGAATGGCTAGAGAAGCTGTGGTATATTCACACAATGGAATACTATGCTGCATTAAAAAACAAGGAACTCATGCAATATTATTCAAAATGGTTGACTCTGGAGAACATTATGCTGAGTGAAATATCCCAGTCACAAAAGGACAAATATTACATGATGCCACTGTTGTAGAATGGGACTGTCCTTGGGGTTAGGGAGACACTGAGTAAGATGGGTTCAATAATGTATACTGCACTGAAGCAGAGGAGGGAGAGAACCGTCTAAAAGAGAGATGTAACTGGGTATTTCTGTCATCACAGGAGACTAGAGCGAGGGCTGCATGGTGGAGGGGACCTGGGGGAGGGTTTGTAAAACAATGAAAGAATCTTTTCTTTTACTTTTCCATAATTTTTGGACTCATGTACTTATAACTTGTTAGTCAAATTTGTGTCTTCTAGGTTGCAACACCCCCATGATACATCTTGAAGGATATGTACATGTACAGCCAAGCACAATCAATAAGAGTGCATCTGAATTCCAAAATCAATCTCCATAATAGTCTTTGTGTTTCCTACTGCCAAAGGGGCCCTTTAGAGTAGTGAGAGAAGATCTTCACCCTGAAACCCACAGCGTCCCTTTTCAGCAGGAAGTAGCTAAGAGAATACACCGTCCCCTTTTCCTTATGACTCAGGGTGAAGTCTCTCTCAGGGAGGAGTGATAGGGAATGGCAAAGGATACACTGACAAAGAAGATTAATCAGAACTGGCTTTGACAAGCACTGTGGCATTTGGGCAAGAACAAACTGGGAGGAGGGTAGAGAGAATAGTGCAACAATGAATGAGTGGAAGCCCAAAATCTCTGTAAATGTTTATGAAAATTAATAAAATATAATTATAGGAAAAAAAAAAAAACCAAAAAACCCAAAATCCTTGCCTCTAAGGAGCAACCTGGTTTCAGTCTCTCAGGGACAAACCTGTTTGATCTCTTGGCCGACTATAGTATGTTCAGAATACAGAGACAAATCAGAAGTTAAACCTTTAAAATTCACAGACAACAGTCTCTACCAAAGGCAGGAGAGTAAGAGCCAGAAAACTAAGCATGGTTTCTCCTGTGTGAGTTCAAGCAAGCCCCTTACCACCACCAGAGTGTCCGTATCAGTGTGATAGGAAGAATGCTGATTTAAGAGGGCTGACATAAAGCAGGTCTCAATGGTTAAGACGCAGTGTGAAGTCAGACCACTGGATTCAAATCCTGACACTACTGTTTACTTTCCATGTATGATTCTGGGAAGTTTCTTTTATAAAATATCACTTATGGCATAAGGTTCTGTGGGGATTAAGAGACCATTTCGTAAAGTACTGCATGCTTGCTGGCACAAGCAATCACTCAGGGGAGAGTTAGCTTTTATTTGTATGATGAGGTAAAAGCCAGCCCCCACCCCCACCCTGCTCCATCCTTTCCCCTACTATACACATCTCAGGTGACACAGTCCCAGCCCTTCTCTGGAGAGCACTTGGTGTTTAGGATAAACTCAACCTTCAAGGTCAAGTGCACATTAGGTATTCAAGCCCTTTCCCCAGTTACCTTTCCCTGACTGCCTCACCCATAAGGCTCTCCTAAACTCTCAGAAGGTAAAAGGGAAAAATCCCAAGTGGTCTGGAAGCCCATGATTTCGTCTCCATCTCACCCCCAGTCCTCACAGCACAGTCTGGCTCAAAGCTTGGCACACAGTAGGACTCCAGGAAGACTTTCTGGTGACTTAACTGGTTGACACATTGACTGTGGGCTCCTGGTTTCAGGCCAGGACAAGGTTGGCAATTCCTCAGGTATCCAGAACTGGTTGCAAAGTGGTGACAGGTGTAAAGCACCCCCTTCTCAGGAACCAGAACCTGGGGAACCTGTGGAGAAGGTGGAGGGAGCCAGCAGCTGCCCTTTTGGCTCTAAAACTAGACCAGCAGCACCAGGAATGGGGGAGGATGCCTGTTTCCTCCTCTTCTCCCCAGGAGATAGAGCTGAGATCCAAATACCCAGTGCAGCTTGGGGGAGGAGACTGAGTCAGAGGTGAGGAGACAAGCACTAATGGGGCTTCTATTCTACTCTGTCTGCTATGATTCTAGGAACTTTCACGTATTTTAAGTAGGAGTGGAGGGACACAAAGCATTAGGGAAAGAGAAAGAAGAGCTTTACTGCCTCTGGTCCAGGCAGTTTTCAGAAGATATGCCCCTCTTGTCCTGAATCTTGGCGCCTCAGATGAACCAACGCCCCTTCCCAGTCCTCAAGAAGCTTCCAGTTTGGAGAGGGAGAAAAAAAAAAATCAGATGCCCTATAATGGGGGGAGGGGTGGGAACAGGTGGTCCCTGTGTGGATTTGTTTCTGCTACGTCCTCAGTTTTCCAGCCCTCATTTGCCCATTCCCATTTATTTGTTAGGATAACCTCCTTGATCCTATGTTTCACATCCCAAGTCCTGAGGACACATCAGTATCCCACTTACCCTTGGGGAGCAATTAGTGCAAATCACTCTGCTTCCACCCCAGGGTTTATAGATAGACTAGGTTGAAATTCTAAGGGGTAACTGCGGAGTTTTTAACTCCCTCCTCTCCAGAGCAACTCTGAAGGCGTCAGTCCATCCTTGACCTTTCCAGCCCTATGCTGGGAACGCTGAACCCCTGGCCCCGGGAGCCGACACTTACCAGCTCCATTCTCAGCGCCATGATCTTGTCCCCCAGGCCATGGCCCGTGTCAGGTGCCCCCGGGAGCAGCAGGGCGCCAGCGGTCTCCGGCTCCCACTCGCCGCGCAGCCCGCGTAGTAGCCCTTCAGGGGTCTTCCTGCCCACCTTGCCCTCCACGTCTCGAAGGTCAGGCGCCTGCGACTCCGCAGCCCCCTCCATGCGGACTCGAACCTGAGCAGTGCTGGGAACCAAACGCCAGGATCTGGTTCCCGGTGGTCTTCCTATCTCCGCCACCAAAGCGGAGCCGAACGAGTGGGTCCCCGCCCGCGCGGCGCGGGGGGCGGGAAGAGGGTGCCGTAACACTCAGAAAAGCCGCGCAAAGCCAGAAATATATTCCGGTGCTGCGCATACAAGCTCTGGCCCTGGAATGCGTGGGACTGGGCGATCCTGGATTTGTATCTGAAAGGGCACCTAAGAAAACGCCATATCTTCTTCCCACCCTGCTAGTTAATCAGCCAGGCACACAACAGGCGCCCAATAAATGCATGCCAATCGAAAACCTAAGGAAGCATCTTCAGTCAGCTAGGGCTGTGGAAGGTTAAACAACAGCGGTAGCAAAGAACTGCACAGGATTTTGAAAGGCTTGCTGGAGCAGAGAAGCTGGGCCTTAAACAGTGGCTAGATTTAGCTAGTCATTGGCACATACACTCCAGTACTAACCCTACCCACCCCCTCCCCTTCTCTCCCTATCCTTTTGCCCCTGTTCAAACACAGCACTGTCATCTAGTCCGTTCTGACTCATAGAGACCTTATGGGCTTGGTAGAACTGCCACATAGTTTCCAAAGCTGTAACTCGGCCACATCTTTCTGCTGCTGGTCACAGAGCTGCTGACAGGTCAGTGCTAACCGCTGATCATTAGGTTAGTGGTCAAGCACTTTACTCTGCACCACCAAGGATCCTAGTTCCTAATTAATACACTCTGGCGGCCTACTGGGTAAAGAGTTGCACTGCCAACACAAAGATAAGTGGTTCGAATACACCAGCAGTTCCTTGGGAGAAAGATGGGCAATCTTCTCTCATGAGATTATAGTCTTTGAAAATGTACTAAGAGCCAGCTATGAGTCAGTTCTAACTCCACAGCAATGAGATAAGGGAATGGCTAAAATTTATGGTGCTCTGATGGCGTAGCTGCTAACCCAATGACCTATGTCTGGGTAATGGTTAAAATCCACCAGAGAAAGATGGGCTATCTCCTTGTGCACAATTTACAGCCTCAAAAACCCAATGGAGTATCAGCTGCGAATCAATTCCAAATAGAAATGAAGAGGAGTAACGGCTAGAATTCAGACAGAAAGAGCAAAAAGCAAAGGTTTCCAGGCTAGTGAGGAGACAACTAATGCTGAAGCTGGAGTAGTCCACATGGGCCAAAATATGTTGGATCTTGTGCTAATGCTTCTTAAACTTGATAGTGTCTATACATCATTTATGAATTTTGTTCTATAAATGGTGAGGCCTGAGATGCTTCCTTTCTAACAAGCTCCCAGGTGTAGACCATGCTACTGGTCCACAGCCCACACTTAGAGTAATCTATGGGTAAAAAGGGAGGCACAAAAACCTTTTTGTGTTTTCTGCTTGGTTTTTGCTTTGTAAATCAAGTAATGCCAGTCTATGGTTCAAAAAGAGTTTGCAGTGCAAAGAATACTTCATCCTTTCTTTACTAGTCCATTTCCCCATAGAAAACCACTTCTAAGTGTTTCTCTGTTTATGTTCTGGTGTTTATGCACTTAATTCTAAACAGTATGCGAACACTACTATTTCTTGATTTTAAACATTGTGACTGACTTCCTATTAGAATAAATATGGATATTCTTCACACCTTGTATGTTCTTTTCTCCATTGACCTCACATGCTTTGAACACTATTTTTAGTTCATCTAATGATTACCTTTGTAATTTTAAGTCACAGATTATTCCTTAGACAGTATTTCTTCATCTGTAAAAGAGTTTTAAATCAAACATTGGAAAAACCTGATCCAGGCCATAGTCTTTGCAATTACTTACTCTGCGTCAGAAAGCTGGACAATGACTAGGAATGATAGAGAATTGATGCCTTTGAGCTGTAGTGGTGGGGAAGAGTATTGAATATATCATGGACTGCTAGGAAAACAAACAGGTTCATCGTACAGAGGGCGAAACCAGGCTGCTCGTTGGAGGCTTTGTCTGACATACTTTGGGCATGTTGCAAGGAGGAACCAGGCCTTATAGAGGGACATCATGTTTAGGAGAGTGGAGGGACAGCACAAGAAAGAAAGATCCTCGATGAGATGGATCGATTCAGTGACCAGGATAATGAGGATAGGTATGTCAGAGACAATAAGGTTGGCACAGGATAGAACAGGGTTCAGGGTTGTTTTATATAGAATCACTGTGAGTCCCAAGTGACTCGATGACATTCAACTCTGAATCTTGAAAAGAGAAAGTATTGGAGGAGTAAAAATCTGGAGTATAGGAAGTATATTGTTGTTGTTATGTGCCGTCGAGTCGCTTGCGACTCATAGCGACCCTATGTACAACAGCCCTAAACTCTGCTCTATCTTGTGCCAATCGCACTGTCTCTGACACTCCCATCCCGATTATCCCAGACACTGAATCAATCCACCTCATAGAGGTCCTTCCCCTCCTGCGCCGTCCCTCCACCCTCCCAAGCATGATGTCCTTCTCCAAGGACCGGTCTCTCCTCACAACATGTCCA